GATCTACACGAGTTGCTAGTAAAACTTGGGGAGCAGGAGACTGTCTCGACAGACTGGGACCGCTTCGTCATTGTCCCAATTTTCAAGGGAGGCTCCCGTTTAGAGTGTGGCAACCATAGAGGGATCAGTCTGATTTCGATTGCCTCTAAATTGCTTGCCTCTGTCATTCTCCACAGACTGACTGGCATTCGTGCAAGCTAGATTCGTGAAGAGCAAGCCGGATTTCGTCGAGGTCGGGGCTGCATCGACCACATCTTCGCATTGCGTCAAGTGTTGGAGCACCGCCATGTTTATTGGCGACTCATCGTTGTCGTGTTTCTTGACATAAAAAGTGCCTTCGACTCAGTCGATCGATGTGCCCTTTGGAACTATCTGTTGAGGAAAGGTGTGCCTGATAAACATTATCAAAGCACTGTACGCACATAGTTCGGGCAGGGTGAGGGTTTATGGCAAACTCTCGCCACCCTTCACTATCACCAGCGGTGTGAGACAAGGATGCCCGCTGTCACCTTTCCTCTACAACTTCGCTACTGATGAAGTCATAGATACAGCGTTCGCTGGACACGACCTAGAAGGTGTGGAGCTACTCCCTGGTGAGCGACTTCTTGACTAGGAGTATGCGGACGACATTGCCCTAATCTGTGACAGCTCCCAAACATGCCAAACAGCACTGGACCGATTAGCACTGGCTGTCAATCATTTTGGGCTATGCTTTGCTCCATCGAAATGCAAAGTACTTCTCTAAGATTGGCAGGGACCCAACCCTGCGCTAACGCTTGGCGGTGATCTGCTAGAAGTCGTTCAGGAATTCAAGTACCTGGGCAGCTATATTAGCACCCGTGGGATTGAAGATGAGGTTACGAAGCGTATAGCAAAAGCTCGAGCTGCTTTTGCCAATCTCCGCCACCTGTGGCGCAGACGCGACATTACTCTTGCCCTCAAGGGCAGAGTTTACAACGCAGCCGTCCGTTCAACTCTCCTATATGGCTGTGAAACCTGGCTCATCAGGTCGACAGACATGAAGAGGCTCGTCACATTCGATCATCGCTGCCTTCGCAGCTTAGCTCATGTCTGGTGGTAGCACCGCGTGAGCAATGAGCGTGTTCGACGTCGCGTGTTTGGTGCAGGAAGAGCGAGTGAACCGCTCAGCACGATTATATCACGCACCAGGCTCCGATGGCTGGGCCACTTGTTGCACATGCCAGCACACCGACTCCCGCGACGTGCATTGTTTGCGCGTTGTGGGTGCGGTTGGAACAGGAGGAGGGGAGGCCAAGTGATGACTTGGTCAAGAGAAATGAAAACCCTCGCTTCGAAGTTGGAGTCGGTTGGTGCATCCCGACTGCCTGGCTGGGGTCCTAAGGACGGTGAACACGTTTGGTTGGACACACTTGCTGATATGGCTAGGAGCCGGCCCCAATGGCGTTTGTGTTGTGAATTCCTTTGTCCATCCCCCTCCTGTTTAGCATCCCCGTAAAAGCACGATCTCAATCGTTAGGCATATGACTTTCTTTTACGGCAGCCAGCTGTTAGCTCTCCGGAACGATGTCCATCCGTTACTGGGGACTCAGCGGGCGTGCCACTGTTTGTTTTCCTTTTCTTGCCTTTTGTATTGCGGCACAATAGCTGAGGTGATTTCTACCTCCAGCTAACGTGTAATGATGATGATGATGATGACAGGAGGGTTGAACGCAAGGCTGCGTAGTTAACTCTACCAATCAGGGCCAGGGTGATGTCACGCCAGCACCACAAGTGATACAGATTGGCAAAAGTGCTCGGAGCTTTTGCTGCGCGGTTCGGGTTCTCATCTTCAAACTCACGGGAGTCAATATAGTTGCTGATATACTTGGATTTGGAAGATTTCTGGCTAAGCACAACCAAGCGCAGAGGCGGTTCCCCGCCAATCTCGCTGAAGGAATTTGTATTCCGAAGGTGCAAAGTATAGCCAGAAACGACTGACAACCAGTGCCAATTTATCCAGTGCAGTCTGGCACGTTTGGGAGCTGTCACAAATAAGGGCTAGGTCATCGGCATAATCCAAGTCAAGAAGTCGCTCACAAGAAAGCAACTCCACAGCTTGTAGTTCATGAGTAATAAACGCAATTTACATGACTTCGTCAATGGAGCAGTTTAAGAGAAAAGGTGACTGCGGGAATCCTTGTCCCACACCACTAGACATATAGATGGGCGGCGAAAGTTGGCCATAAACCCTAACTCTGCCCGAACTTTTCGTGTACAACGCTCTGATAATGCTTACAGCTTTATCCGGTACGCCTTTCCTTAGCGTACAGTCCCAAAGAGCACAGCGATTCACCGAAGAGAAGGTAACTTTGATGTGAAGAAATAGGACTACGGTGGATCGCCGATAAATATGTCGGTCTTCCAACAACTGACATAAAACGAAGAGGTAGTCAAAGCAGCCTCGATTTCAAAGAAACCCGTATTACTTCTCACGAACCTGGCTATCAAGAGTACCGATAAGTCTATGGAAGAGGATAGAGGCGGGTATGGCTATAGCATTGAAGACGGGTAGCTCAGATTGTTCAGACGGCGGTTGAACTGTTCGCTGAGCTTGGAAATTTTGTTGCAAAGGTTTCGTCACCACTCGAGGTGACGTCATCAGTGCGTAGTTGAGTGCGCCCACCGAGGCTCCTCTACGCTATTCTTCGCCACTACATGCCACTCAGCAACGCACTGATGATGTCACCCAGATAGGTGATGAAAAGTTTGCAACAAAATTGCCAAGCTCAGCGAACAGTTCAACCGCCAGAGGCGGGTATCAGAGATAATTGAGATCAGGCTGATTCCCTTATTACTGCCGCGTTTCGAACGTGAGCCACTTGAAAAGGGGGTTATAACTGGTCGCCTTCAGTCTGTTGGGACAGTTTTCTGCTCCCATAGACTCCCTATTAAGCTGCGTAAATCGTCCACGAAGTCTAACCATGGGAATTTGGAGAGGGATAAATAAAGTCCATCTGCTCTTGCCGTTTTATTCAATTTCAACCGTCTGACCTCACGTTCGACTTATGCGCGGGAGGGTGGATTCAAGGGGACGACTCAAGGAGAAAGGCGATTAATAGTCGGTAAGGTAGATCATAATTCAGGCTGAGGTAACTGCGTTTCAACCTGCCCGGCCCAACGATTCAAGTATTTTGACAAGCTATGTATTGCATGTCCGATGTCGTTGCGTATGGTCTCACTAATGACAGGTCTTCTGCTGCCCGTTTCTCGTACTAGACGGAAGAACTTATGATGGTTACCAAAGGCAATGGTTGTTTCCATCTCCGAGGCACGGCGAGATCGCCAGACTTTGCGGTCTTTCTTCAAGTCAGCATGCTGCTTTGTCCGGAGATCTTTGCGAGTATCGTTGTATTCTATTCCGGTCCAAACACGTCGGCGAGCACTCAGAAGTTCCAGAAATTGCTTGGGGACCCAACGTTCATGTGCATAATTTGATTTGCTACATGAGGACATGCGCCTTGATAGAAAAGTCTGGTGAATATGAGACCAGCGACCTTCAACTGTGTTCAGTGTGCGTTCACTCAGCAAGAATGGTAGCACACTCCATTCCAATATCCCAAGTTTGCGTCAGAAACAAGTTGCAGGGATTTTAAACTGGCCACCGACAGAAATTGATCATGAACTTTAGTCTGGTGTATATTTTATAGAGGATGACATAATCGATTTCGGTACAAGCTAGCTTAAGGTTTAGTGGGCCCCAGACAAGGGCGTAATGTTAGCCAGTGTCCCTAGCTAGAAAATGGTAGTTAACACACTGTTGGAGAAACAGGTTGCAAGTATCGAGGTAACGTGAACGAATTCCGGAAGAGCTTTCAAGTGAGTGCCACAATATGCAAAATAAGAAACGGAACAATGATTTATCCCGCAGCAACCGAGACGTCGCGTTTTTGAACAGTTAAATAGAAGTGAGCCAGCAAAGAAATGGCTCTAACGGCCATAAAGAGGTGGAGATTTGGAAGTTGAATTTAGCGAACACGCTGTGGTTGGGATGCGACTAGCAACCTCTATTGAGACCTCCGTTCACTTTGAGGTAAATTTCGGACAGTCCGATCGCGAGCACCGCATCTGGAATGCGAAGATTTGGGCATTGCTCTTCCCAACACTGGCAAACCACGACCGCGGTTTCGTCTTGATTTGGACTCATCAGGTTGAGATGGCCTGAGCTGGGGTGGAACTAAGAGCCTGGTATTTCATGGCTGACATCCTGAACACTAAGCTACTGAGATCCCCGAGCTACGCTTGGCACAGCGGAAAGGAATTCAAAAGTTGAATTTAGCGAATAGGCTGTGTGGTTGGGTTGCGACTCGCAACCACTTGGCTGAAAGCCCCACCGCTAAGATCATAGGTGGAATCACGTTGGTGTCTATTTGATAGATGTTCCCTTTGTGTTGGTGCAACGCGGAAAGTCGATACAGGAAAATCTTATACCAAGAGTTGCATTGCCAGAAACGTAATCGGATAATCTGTAGAAACACAAAACTGTCGCATAAAGTAGATGTGTCATAGGTGCGTGGCACCTAAAGCACAATGGAATGTGGTATCCCTGGCCGGCCCATCTGGTCAGCAGCATAAACGTTAGCTGGAGGTGGGAACACAGCCCATGTGGTGGAATTCAAATGTTAGTAGCTGATGAAACAAAGCAGTTAGTCTGAGTTTGATGTGTGTATATAGTAGTAATACCATTTACAGAGCAAGTACATTGGCTGCGTGCGGAATGGTGTCACCCAGTAAAGCACAAAGCATGAGATGGGGTAAGAATACCTAAAATTCGACCGATAAATAGAATGCACGGAAGAACATTATAACATCAATCACAGAACAGAGAGTGTACTCTGGCACAATACCTTGTTACAATCCCCGGTACTGTTAAGGACACCACCAGCACCATGACAGTGGACCAAACCGTATTATTATTGGTGCGATAATCATGAAGTAGACCAACACGATCTGTACCGTTATCTGTGTGCATCGACACTTACATCATAAACGGCATAACTGTGGCAAAACACGGGCTGCACTCTGTTCTCCGGACCCGCATCAGTACGTACGCTGAGGACGCAACCGCACTTGAAACCAACGATAATCTAGCGCACAAAATTATCGAATAAATGCAGGAATAGATTGTATGCAAATACCTGACCGTTAGAAGTCTGTGGAAGAAACTTGGCTGTGAACACATTGCTGTTCGCAGGAAGTTTCAGTGAAAAAATCGGTCGAACGCTTGCCTCCTAAGAACGAAAATCAAGGATAATAGAGGCAGTACCTCACAGTAGTCAGTAAGGACGCGTGTAACACAAATGCGCCTATCATCTGACCCTGAAAGCAAAAGCTCACCGCTTTCATCCCAGCAGATAGTGTTGACCTATGGGATAGTCAACGAATGGCTATTGTTGTCACGTACACATCCGTCATGTAAAGGTAATATTTTGGTCACCTGAAGGCAGTTGAAATAATAAGGATTATCTGAGGTATGTAGAGAAACCAGAAAAGTACCACGTAAGATTGGGCCATCCTCCACTCGTCCACTGTACTCAAAGACGAACCTGTTCCGGCACATATGAAACCATAGAAGACTTTCAGAACTACCAACACATCGAAAAGCGCGTCTGTAAGTGGCTTTGTAGAGACTGAAATAGAATCAAATATGCATCATTAGTCTTCAAACGGTAAGATGTTATTCATTGCAAGTTGGGAGTGCGCACGAAAATTGCAGACGAGAATTAACACTGTTTAAAATCTGCTTCTAACGTAAGTACCAAGCAGAATAGCAAACTTTTAAGCACCGCTTCCTCTTACGATGCTGCTGGATGGTGTTCAGAGATGAGAAGTGGTATCTCGTCAGGTTTGTTCCTGCGGCTGCGCACATTGGTATTACTCGCAGACCACTGTTTGCGCCAGCAGGCTGGGTAGCAGAAAGATTGTCCGCCAACGCGCTCTCGGTATTCTCTTCACTACGTGGAAATCCACAATGTAGAGATCAGTTTCGCCATTGGGTCTACGCGTGCATAGCTCGTTGACAGTTTGTTGCATCTTAATTCTTCTGGACAGAGGACGAAGAATGTTTCACCCTTAAGGCGCGAAGTGCGCTTGAGGATGTAGCGGCATTCTTCTTCGTCTTGGCAGAGGACTTTAGGGGGGGGGGAAGTTCGTAGGATCTTCCTGCCTTCTACCCAGGCGGAAAGCTGAGACGATGTTAATACCCTGCCCATCTTTGTCGAACAGAATGGATACCATTCATTGGAGGAATGTCTGGCTGTCAAGAATCCTTTCAGTTGAAGTCACTTAGTCAGATCCCGGAACACCTATAATAATCAAACGCCGTTCCCTGGAAGGTCTGTTTTCTCTTAGTTTCTCTGGTTTTGATGCAACCGGTTTTTCGATTATCAGCTTCTCAAGTTGTGTGACTTTAAGTAAAGCACACTTCAGTTGCGTTGACGCTGTGTTGGATTTCGCCTTGTCCCTAGTGGCTGCTTCCTGGTTTTGTGGTTCGAGGCATAATTCCCACGAGCTGGAATGGTTTAGGCTGCATTCCCAACTCTTTACTTGGATCACGGAGTTTCTTTACGGTAGTAACTTACGCGTTAGGGTGGGGGAAGCTAGATCAAGCAGATCTGAAGATCGTCAGCAGGGGTAATCGAGACTTGTTGTCTAAGATCTTCGCACTGTACTGGATTGGTCGGTTAAATGGGATTTACATTTATGCGCCAGAAAATGCCAAGTAGTGACTTCTCAAAATGAAGGGATTACGGTGCTAACATCTGTCGGTCCTCTAGGTCTGCGAGGTGCATATGAAGCACTGGACTTAGGCATTATTGTCGTGAACAACTTCAAAAGTTCAGTGCAATGTGAGCATGCTACCAACAAGGCGAGGAATGAGTTGTTCCGCCTCAAAAGATATTTATGCAGTACCAGAGCTGAGGTTTTTTATTCCCTTATACAAAGCGGTGGTAAGACCTCATCTAGAATACTGAGTACAGGCTTTGGTATCGTACCAATGGAAAGACGTCGCCTGTATAGTAAAGGTGCAAAAACTGACGACTAGGATGATTGAGGGCTTAGGTGAAAAACCATACGCTGAGCGCCTAAAGAGCTTATGTCTATTCAATGAAACGGCGCAGACTAAGAGGGGACCAAATAGAAAGGTTTAAAAGCAAGAAGGGTTTTAGTGGTATCCAGTATGCTGAACTGTTTGAGATAGCCGGGTTAGATCAGCTGCGAAAACACCAAGTGCAACACAAGAATCAGAGATCTAGGCTGGATATCAGGGCGAAATTCTTCGCGAATCTTGTAGCCAATAGCTGGAATAAGCTACCACCAACACTAATAGAATGCAGCGCCGTGAATGCCTTGAAAACAGGCTTAGGTAAGAGTTGGTCTGAACCACTTCCAGAATTATTGTTATTTTGTTGCATCATGTCGGTAACCCCGGACCGCATGTCGGTACAGATACAAATTCAGATGGACTGGAACGATAGGAAAATCCTTTGAGTGTTCCTTCTTGAGCAAATCGTTGAGCCAGGAAATGATAAGGTGCTAGGTCTTGATAGATCTAAAACGAAACACCCGAAACACCCTGATCAACCAATTACTGCCCACGTTCCCTACACTAGCAGTCCCCGCTGTGTAGGTTACATGAAGTAAGAAAGAAGTAAAAAGTAAATGGAAGATAAAAGAGAATGAGTCATTAAAATGAAGGATAACATCAAAGAGTGAAGAGAATGACAATAAGAACTAAAAGTTTGAAGATGGATATGGTCAGGAAAAGGGAAAGGTTTCGTGTTGCCACCCAAGAGCGTCTAACTGACGCTCGAAACCCTTAACCGTAGGTTCACTAACTACACTTTCTGGAAGCGAGTTCCAGCGCTCGATAACTCTACGTGATAACCGAGTTTCCGCCCTGATCCGATCAGAACGCGGCTTGTGCAGCTTTATGGGATGACCGCGAAGACAAGGCAACCTAGCCGGACTAAATAGCCAGCTCAAGTCCGGTCCAACCTTCTCCATTTAGAATGCGGTAAGGATTAGGTCTCCTCGAAGCCGTCAGTAGTGCATTGAATACATACCCAAGCTAAGTAGACGCTCGGGGTACGTTTGCCCCCGGAACCCCTCGACCAATTTGGTACCTACTCTCAAAACCCTCTCGAGCTCCATTTTGTCCCGAACAAGGCAGGGCGGGCAAGCCTGGATGCAGTATTCCAGATGTAGCCGAACAAAAGCTGAGAACCGCTTCACAAATATGTCGGAAAAACGGCGTATTAACCACAACATTCTGAAACCCCTACTTGCGGTCTTTTTCCAGTTGTCACCAGAATGCAAAGATGAGGAATGGACGATGCCTAGGTCTACCTGGTTGGAGACAAGGGGGAGTTCGACCCCACCGAGTATGTAGCTCGAAGGCGGGAAAGTTGCTCCTATACGAAGGACGGAACATAGCCTGATTAATGGGCAGTAGCCACAAAGTAGATCAGTCCCAGAGTCTGTCCAGGGCATGCTGTATGGCCTCAGAACCCCCAGGAACATTTACAACATTCCATAGCTTAAGGTCATCAGCAAACAATAGGGATGATACCCCAAGCTCTCCAGGGAGATCGTTTACGTAGATGGAGAACAGCATCGGTCTAAGGAAGGAGCCCTGTGGGGCACCGCTAAGGACCGCTTGCCTAAAGGATAAGCTGCGACTCACACGTACACACTGCTCCCTTCCCTGCAAGAACGCAGATACCAAGTGAAGGGCGAGGCCAGATACGCCGTAGGAGCTCAGCTTCTGTGGTAATCTCAAGTGGGGTACCTTAACAAATCCTTGCGAGAAGTCTACGAAAAACACATCCACTACGTGGCCATTGTTCATTGCCTCGGCCCAAGCTTCACGAGCAACCAAGAAATTCGCCAGACACGAAAATCTCTTCCGGAATCCATGTTGTGCACTACTGAGTAGATTAAATCTATTCAGGTGACATTCCAACGAATCTCTCACCAGCTTTTCAAGCAGTTTGACCACGACGCTAGTCAGACTGACTGGCCTATAATTGGCTGACAGACTCCTGTCGCCATTTTTGAGGATAGGACAGATGACAGCCTCCTTCCATTCAGAAGGTAATGTACAGCTGTCAAGTGACTTTTGAAACACCATCGTCAGCGGTCCACTTAGTTCCCCCGCCAACTCATGCAGAAGCTTCGGGTGAATTAAATCAGGTCCAGCTGCTTTGGAAGCGTACGGTTCTTGCATCAGTTTAAGGACTTGCGTTTCCACCACAGTAAACTCAGCTAAGTAAGAACCCACAGGTGCTCTGGGGACAAGTTCAACGCTAGTCAACGCGGCCTCACGCCCAAATTCCCCTGCATACTGCTTCCCAAGTACACGAGCTTTATCTGAGTCCGCATACGCACGAGTTCTATCGGCCCGCATCAAAGTTGGGATTACCGAAGTACTGGCACTGGTAGGGCGAAAACAGACCGCCGGCTGACCACCCGAAAACCCACCAACCGGAGACCTTGTTCACCGGCCGCTCGCCTGGTTTTGAGATCCTTAATGGCCTATTTTAGCATCAGCCTATCCGCTAATGGGAGGTCTGGCTGAACGCTAACATTAGTGCCCTTCAATTTGAAGGCAAACCGCAACAGCGCGTTGCGTTCCTCCGGGGTGGATAGGACTACGCGAAGTAAGCGCGGTCGAGGGTTTGGGGCGTTAACTGGGACGTTACCCAAGCTAGTCAGTTTCCTGACAGTAACACCGAGAAACCCGGGCGGAAGAATCTTCGTTACGCACATCTTAAACCCCTGTAGGTCGTTCAATGCACGTTCGGCAGGAAGTGCAGCAGTGGATTTCACTGCGTTACGGAATAGCACGCTGCTATCCATGAAAGAATCACATCGACGGGGTGTATTTACCCCACGGGTTTTGGAATTTACATGAATAGCAACCGGTTTAGCCACAGGCAATGAGACTGGGCGCAAGTTATCAGACGACGTTGAAGCAACGGTAGCGTACGTCTTACGCTCCAGCTTGTTTGTCCCATCATTCTTGACGCTTTTCGTACCTGTCTGAAGAGTACGGGCAGTTCTGTTCCGAATTTTCTTTCGTCCTGCAGGCGAAGAAGCTTGTGGCTCAACGTGCATGTCCGCCTCCAAGACCTGTACCGCCGGAAGACAAGATGAGGTGTTTAAAGTAGGCACCGCAGCTTGAATAGCACGCGATGGGGACATCTGGGATTGTTCACCCCCTACCTGCACAACCTTAGGTGAAACTGAGGGAATTTCATTACCAGGTGGTTTCCCGCTCAGGCGGTTGCATGCTGAGCGACTTCTCACCTCTCGGCTTGGGTGCGGAGGGTTTGCGCACTTTCCTTGCCCTCTTTCACCTATTCTTTTCTGGCCCAAGAGCCCGTGACTCGCCTTCCATTTATGGAGGGTCAACAATGCCGTCCGAGGCATGAGTCAGTTATCTCAATGTGTACTGGAGCGTCCGATAAGATGAACGACCCATCAAAGGATGGACTGTCAGCAGGGGGACAGTCCGCTACAGAGTCCTCCTTTGCAATACTCAGGTAATTCATAATC